GCAGGCGAAGGCTTCGCCCGCAGCCCCCCTTCCGACACGGCGTGTGTGGCCGAAGGAGTCGGCGCTGCAGTCTCCGAGGGAAGGGCCGAGCCCCCTCCGCGCCATCCGGTCCTTCGCTCCCGGCGGCCTTGGTCCCGGCCCACATCCTGGCCCAAACAGGAGTTACAGGTCTGAGGCAAACCCGCCGAGGACACGATTAGTGTGTTGAATAAAACAACGCAAGGTGAAGGATCACACTAGGCAGTGGTAGCAGTTCCCTCTGGTCTTGAGGTCTGTGAGTCAGCGATGCTACGACACAGCTTTTAACAAGTAACTGTATTTCCTCATCCAACAAATAACGGCCTCATCCGGAACGTGTAGACCATACAACCTTTTCCTACCACGCCTCCATTAACGATCAGTATTTGAAAACGGGGCACAACTTGAAAGGACAGTCAGTATCCAAATAGCGAGTGTGTCCCTTGCAGGAGCTATTGCCATGATCTCTGTGCTTTCAGACTCGGTGAAGTGTTGGTTTGAAGGTGGATCACCCATCGGTTGTATAACAGCGGTTAACTAGAACTTTGCCAAAATTCTTACTGAATTTTTTTGAACCAGGTAGAAGTTACCGTTTGTTCCAGAAGCACCCCCAAATAGATACCTCGTGTAGAAACCAAAATATGCAAAGGTCTGTGGTGAAGGCAGGGGGGCCCTGAAAATATTACAACCATAAAGGCAGCCCAATTGACTCAACAACCTCCTGACAGACGTGTTGTGCTGTATCTGCTGATTAGCACACTTTTGGATGAAGAATGGGACCGTGTTATCTGTGAAGTTTACTTGCTAATGGGAACCTGCACTGATTAAACTCCCGTGAGAGCTAGTAGTAGCTACAGGATTTGACAAAAGAACCAAGCAAAGTGGGTTTTGTTGTTGTGTTCATGCTTAACGTGTTGGTGCTGTATCTTGCCTGCATAGTTCAGCACAGGATCATCGTAGATGTAGGGAAGATATATTGTACCCCTATCCAGCAAATGCAAAGCGGGCTCCTGCTACAGGACAATGCTAGCAAGTAGATGTAGTATGCTGCTTGGAAAACTTCGGGTCGTGTCATGGTAGTTTTGGTTCTTTTTTTTTTAAATTTATCTTTAAAAATAACTTTATCTGAAACCATGAATGTAAATGGATTATTATTATATTTGCATAATGTGTGCATGAAGTAATTCTTACTCCGATAGCGAGCGCTTGCTTTCTTGCAGGTTATGTTGTCTTGGGAAGGAGTTCACACTAAAGTGAAAAGAATAATTTTAAAATAAGGTTTTCACACGGTGGATTAAACCAGAAGCAGGAACTAATACAGAATAAGCACGAAAATAACTGGTGAAGAATTAGGAACTGGTAAAACTCTTAACACAGCCCTAACAAAGCAGTGAGGTTTGACAGATATCTTGAATTTTTTGTGGCACAATATACAAAGTAATTCATGATAATACCACATTGTCTTTTTAAGGCACTTTTCAGCCAGTGTTTTCAAATCATTTAACAAGTTTACTCATTAATTTATCTCCTAATCCTGCTGTGAATTATATTTCAGTCTCAGTTACCCTAAACGGTGCTGGCTCCATTCCCTTCCCTGCTCTTCCCTCCCCTGCCCTACCACTCCTGCAAGCGATGAGTCAGATCAAGGAACTGATCCAGCTGAAAATTAACCAAATTATTTTGTTGTTCTTGTTATGATCAGTTTGCTGACCTGAATGATGAGATAAGGAACACAACAGGAGACAAAGGCGAGCCTGTTTGCTTGTCTTAGTTACCTCTTACAGGATCGCCTCCTCCTGCTCCATTGCACTCCATCAGGATTCATGGACCAGTGGTAGGACAGTTCTAAAGGAAGCTCAGGGTTGATGAGGCTCATTAGAATTAAAAAAGAGTGGGGTTTTTTTTGGTGGTGGTGGTGTTGCAGTAGGCGTGTAGAAATGTCAATACTGTAACTAATGCTGAGGCATGACAAAGGTTTTAGGAAGTTATTTTAAATTATTTTCTGTTATAAACGTCAAAGTTTTCTGATGCATATGCATGAGGAAATATGGTTTTGCCATGCCTACACAGGGTTGAGCAGAAAATAGATACAATTTGGTGTCACCGTAAGAATAGGGACACTTTTGTGTCTGTCATTGCAGAGACAGTTGTCGCTCCAAGAACTGGCTTCTGAAGCTGATGAAAAGGGGTCAGAGCTGAACTGGAGATGGAGATTGGACTGGACTGGACTAGACATGACAGGACAAGAGCTCAAATGAATGTGGGAGAAGAGACAGTCTTGTATGGGCATTTACATAAGCGTCCTGCATTTTGCATGGCATCTGATGCGGTTTGTGGGCGAATATCTGAACCTTTCACAATATTGCTCTGTCTTTTTAAGTGAGAGTGTCAAACATCTACATTTGTTGAACAGTATACAGGGCAGTTCTCTGCTGCATGAGGTACAGATGCTGCCTTTGATGGTCTTGATCCATGGAGTAGTGCTAGAATAGCTTAGTGGGAGATGGAATATTTGTTGTATATGTGTTTGAAAAATTAATCTTTATGTGCATAGCACATGGTGGCAAAATGAGGACATTTTAAAACACCGTGCTTTCTTAGGTCTGGCAAAACCCAATGAAACCGAAATGAGTCCAGGTTTACTTAATAGGGTCAGCACAATGACTTGTATAACGAGGGATATTTGCAAAAAATCTTTGTAGCCTATTGTCATGAAAAAACCCTTACTGCTGGTTGCTTATGTTTAAATGAAGAAATACAGGTGGCTGTATTACGCATTTTAGAAAACATACTTCAAAAGACAGACTCTGCAAAAGCATTGCAAAGTCAAGCTCTCCAAAGTCAGGGAATTTCAAAACACAGGTTTTGCAAAAAAAAAGTTTTCCCCTTCAGCATTGCTCCTTTTCTTTTCCTACACCTTGAGCTCCTTTTCCTTTTTACGTGAAACCGGCTGCTTCCCACTCCCCCGTCATCCTGGGCACTGCTCTTGAGGTTACAGGTGTGCAAATTTTCCAGCAACTGACTGCTTTTTTCAGACGAGGGGAGGACCGGAGAGGAAAGTGGTGTGTAGTTCTGAGGTGCCTCAGAGTCTGTGGCTGAAGAAAGCTGACAGGCTGCGTGTGAGCGGTGGATGAGTGTTGGAGATGTCTTGGCCAAGATGAGTCATTTCATGGCAGCAGCAAAATGTTCAGGACAACTTCCCCACTTCCTTGAGAAATTTCAAGTACTGGCTCTGAAAGATAGAGGGAGCTAGGACAGAGTGTGTTTTCCCCAAACTCACTTCCTGAGAACAATAACCTAAAAAGAAATCAGTCTTAGCTGCCAAGCAAAATGATGCTCTGAGAAAGAAGAGGTGGGTCTATGGCAAAGGGTATTTTTTAACCTTGGCAAAGTGTTAATTTCAGAGGTTGTGAGTGGCACATTGGAGGCAGGTAAGAGGCTGTCACAGTTTTTTGCCAATACAGAGGGAGGGTTTTTTTTTTTCTTTTTTTCCTCCTTAATAAGAAAGTTGTCTTACAAGATAGGAAGTGTGCATGTGTTAAAAAAGAAAAAAGACACTACCACTTCACTGTTGCTAAAAGACCTTTTTCTCCTTCTCAAGAGTAATCATTTGTGTAGGATATGTACTGCTGTAGGATCTGTACTGCTTATTGCTCTTCAAAATGCTCAGCATTTGACTGGTAAAGTCATAAGGACAAAAGATATTGTTAGAGGTTTTTCTGTCTTTCTGATTTGTACATGTTTTCCCCAATATTTTCCTGCAGGGATTTATTTTTTTTTTTTTAGCAAAGGAACAGCTCTTCAGGTTGTAGTTAACCACAAGAATTAGGGTTGAAAGTCCATGGTTTAAATTATTCCTGAATTTAAAGTCATCATTTCCAGTGGATTTTACTGTGTGTTTGTAATCATAAATGGATGACTTAAAAATACTTCACTATTTTTAAAAGGCTTGAAGCGTGTCTTCTATGCATGTGTGTTAAAATTAAATTGGTGTACTGTTAGTGTATTTTTACTGTTGTAACAGGAAAAGCATTCTGCCTTTTTTTTAAAATGAGCAATCATATGTATAATCAACTTGGTTAAAACTTCCTTCCTGGTAAGTGCAGCACTTCCTTTGCATCTGGATATGGGGGCGAGCAAGAAAAGCAGAACGGCTTATACAAAGAAATTTTTTGTGTGAATGATCTTCCTTTAAAAAAATAGGAACTTCAGAAATTAAACAAATGAATCCTCTTCAGCAATTCAGCCTTTGTTTTATAAGCAGGTAATATTTCCTTGTGCTTTGTCAGTTACAGAAGTGGTGTGTCCACTGTTGTCGCTTTCCGGAACTTGAAAAAAGAACTGTAGTTAGCATGCCATGTTGTTTCAGTTTAACCTTTTATATTTTTATCTTCTTGGTTTGTTATCTGTTAAGGCATTGTTACATTGGTTTTAGTTTTCCCAGCAGTTACGAGAAAGATTTTATGTGTAAAAAGCATTGTCTGGAAAAGAAGTTCAGGATGTTGCTGTAACTTCGCTTGTGTGAGCACGCTCAGTCAGCGCTGCCTTCCTTTCCAAGCTCTCAGTGAATAATTTCCACTTTAAGATTGTTCAATGGAGATTAACTGTGAGCAAGAATATTTTTTGTTCACTGGAAGCTGATAAGGTAGGCCACTCGTTTTCAAAGTTGTTTTACAGGTGTTTTAGGTGGGATTTGATGTATAGGGTAGTAAATCGGCATCAGCTTGAGCATTTTTTCTTCTGTAACTAATAGTTTAGATGGGAAGCGTTTACTTTTAAAATGGATGGATGTTATCAGTCTGGTGAATTGATTTATTTAAAAGAAGCAGTTCTAAAGACACTAGGCTTGAATTTAGATGCATGTTAAATATCTGTCTTCAGAAGTAGTCCCTGACTTTTCAATCCTAAGGGTTTTTTTTCTAAAAAGAGAGGCAGAGGAAAATGGGAATAGGCTCACTTCTGTCCAGTCTGCAAATAAATTGCTTATTTTGTTACTTCCTGTCATTCCTGGAGCTCGGTGGGATCGCGTTCTGCTCATACACAGTAGCGTGTCTTTTCATTTCTATGAAAATCCACTTAAGTTAATATCAGCAGCATCAAAACAGATGAGGCAGCAGAAGAATCAGTGCTTGATCAAATAGAAGCAAAACCAAATTGTTATGGAGGAAATACATAGTCAGACTGCTTATCCTCAGTGAAATCTGGGAAAGCTGTTTAAAAGCTCTATTTTAATTATTTAATCATCTTTTAAAATGGATGGATGTTATCAGTCTGGTGAATTGATTTATTTAAAAGAAGCAGTTCTAAAGACACTAGGCTTGAATTTAGATGCATGTTAAATATCTGTCTTCAGAAGTAGTCCCTGACTTTTCAATCCTAAGGGTTTTTTTCTAAAAAGAGAGGCAGAGGAAAATGGGAATAGGCTCACTTCTGTCCAGTCTGCAAATAAATTGCTTATTTTGTTACTTCCTGTCATTCCTGGAGCTCGGTGGGATCGCGTTCTGCTCATACACAGTAGCGTGTCTTTTCATTTCTATGAAAATCCACTTAAGTTAATATCAGCAGCATCAAAACAGATGAGGCAGCAGAAGAATCAGTGCTTGATCAAATAGAAGCAAAACCAAATTGTTATGGAGGAAATACATAGTCAGACTGCTTATCCTCAGTGAAATCTGGGAAAGCTGTTTAAAAGCTCTATTTTAATTATTTAATCATTGGAGGGTTTTTTTTAAATACATATTTGGTATTGAACTGAACAGATTATGTCTGAGGTGGTTTATGTAAAACAAGTATTTATGACCAGAAATTAAGGGGAAGGGAGAATACAAAAAGTGTATACATAGCAGGATTCTGACTGGCCTGTGATTTTAATTAAGAAGAGTTAAAAAATAAAAGTAAAGAAAAATGTAAACAAGAAAGTAATCAACTATTTGTATGTTTTGCTAGATTTCTTCTGGCATGGAGTTGGGAGATTATGAACAGCCCGTTGTTATGAGAGAGGAAAACAAACGAAGGAGAAGAAGAATGAAACCTCATTGTACCTCAAGTAATTTGTCATCAATGGAACTGATATCCATTGAGTTCATTTTACCTACAAGCAATAAACATACTAAAGCACCGGAAATGATGTTACTTGAAATAGCTGGCAACTGTACGGTTGAGCAAATGAAAGCACAGATTTGGATGCGTGCAATAGAGATGAGTCAAACCACAGACTTCTACCACACATTCACCCCAGATCAATTTATTCTGCAGTATCAGAAGAAAGGGCAGTGGTATGAAATTTATGATAAACATCAAGTATTACAGACATTGGACTGCATACTGTACTGGAAAGTGTTACAGAAAAAGGTAGGCAAGATCTATGTTGTTCAGAAACAAAAACCGTCAGAAGAAGTTCAGGAATTTCAGCGGCAACTTAACGATTTAATTGGTTATGATGTCACTGATGTAAGCAACGTGCATGATGATGAACTAGAATTTACCCGTCGTAGATTAGTCACTCCACGAATGATAGAGGTAGCCTGTAGAGATCCTAAATTGTATGCAATGCATCCATGGACTACATCTAAGCCACTCCCAGAATATTTATTTAAAAAGATCACTAATAATAACATTTTCATAATCATACATAGAGGAACAACTAGCCAAAAAATTAAAGTGTCAATAGATGACACTCCAGACATGATTCTTCACAGCTTTTTCACAAAAATGGCAAAGAAAAAGTCTTTGATGGACATTCCTGAAGATCACAGCGAACTGGATTTTGTTCTCAGGATTTGTGGCAGAGATGAGTACATTACTGGAGAGACACCAATCAAAGATTTTCACTGGATAAGACAGTGCCTTAAGAATGGGGAAGAAATCCACCTTGTGTTAGACAATCCCCCTGACCCAAGTGAGGATGAGGTTCAGAAGGAAGAGTGGCCCTTGGTGGATGACTGTACAGGAGTTACAGGGTATCATGAACAATTGACAATAGATGGAAAAGATCATGAGAGAGTCTTCACTATCTCTTTGTGGGATTGCAATAGGAAATTTAGGGTGAAAATAATTGGCATTGATATCCCAGTTTTACCGAGAAATACTGATCTTACCGTGTTTGTGGAGGCTAACATTCAACACGGGCAGCAGCTCCTTTCACAGAGGAGGACTTCATCGAAGCCTTTTACTGAAGAGGTTCTGTGGAATATTTGGTTGGAGTTTGATATCAAAATCAAGGATTTGCCTAAAGGAGCACTCCTGAATCTTCAGATATACTGCGGCAAAGCACAGGGACTGTCCACAAAGACAAACCTTCAGTCACATGAATCCCCCAGCTCTGATTCAAAATGCAAAACTCAGCTTCTCTATTATGTAAATCTTTTGTTGATAGATCACCGTTTCTTGCTACGAAGTGGGGAGTATGTGCTCCACATGTGGAAAATTCCAGGCAAGGGGGAAGAACAAGGAAGTATCAATGCAGACAAACTCACATCAGCAACTAACCCAGATAAAGAAAACTCAATGGCTATCTCTATTGTGCTGGACAAATATTGTCACCCAATTGCCTTGCCCAAGCACAGGATAACATCAGACCCCCAAGGGGATAGGACACGAGCTGAAATGCCTAACCAGCTTCGTAAGCAACTTGAAGAGATCATAGCAACTGACCCACTTAATCCACTTTCTCATGAGGACAAAGAACTGTTGTGGCACTTTAGATATGAAAGCATAAAGCACCCCAAGGCGTATCCTAAGCTGCTTAGCTCGGTAAAATGGGGACAACAAGAAATAGTGGCCAAAACATACCAGTTGCTAGCTAAGAAGGAGGTTTGGGATCAAAGCACTTTAGATGTTGGACTCACAATGCAACTTCTGGACTGTAACTTTTCAGATGAAAATGTCCGAGCAATGGCAGTTCAAAAACTGGAAAGTTTAGAAGACGATGATGTTCTTCATTATCTTTTACAGCTTGTGCAGGTAAGGTGTATTTCCATTCTTGAACTCTGCCTTCCAGGAATGTTTGCATTACCCCATTGTCATTCCCATCCTAGTAGGTCTAGTTAGTAATTCCTGGTTTTGAAGTCTTCCGTGTTTAGTCAAAGCAGTGGTAGTAACCAAATTAAACCAAAACACACTTTCTACACTTCGCCTTTTGCCTGTGTTGTTATTTTTGTGTTCTCATTGCCTTGTGTCTTACAATTTGCATCTTGCATTTACAGTAGTATGTTTTTCTGGAAATTGTCAACACTAGCACAGCTATGATGGGAGCAAATCCTAACTGTGCTGTCTCCAGTCCTGTTCATATCAGGTCTGAATCACACAGCACTGAAGAATTGTTGACTGCTTTGCCAAT